TTTCTTTTTTTTTTATTATAAATATTTATTTATTTATTTATTTTTTTTTTCTTTTCATTAGGAAGAAATAAAAATGTATGGCTTAGTCCCAAAGGTTGTGCAATGTTTACCATACAGCTTCACATACCAAAAAACTCTTATCTTGGTGTTCATATTTCAATACTTCAACATCTCGTTATAGTTGGAATCGTATCAGCTGTAACATCTGTACCTGGATATGAGGTTTCTTTTTTTTTTTCATTCATTTTTCAATTCATTATATCTATAATTAATATTTCAGGATTCTAATGAATCTATTATTTAAATATATTTATAATTGTTTTATTCAAAAAAAAAAAAAAAAAAAAAAGGGATTAGATCTTAGAGTAAAATGGCCTAACGACATTTACGTTGGAAAATCAACCAAAATTGGTGGTATTATAGTTACTAGTCACTATGATATGTCATTAATTATATGCAATGCTGGTAAGTATTAATAAATTTATTTTATAAAAATGTTATATATATATATTTATTTATTTATTTATTTATTTATTTATTTATTTATTTATTTATTTTGTTTATATTATATACTAACAAAAAAATTAGATATAATTAAATTAATGTCAGGTATGAAATATAATTGTTTCTAGGTGTTGGCGTTAATCTTTCAAATAGCACACCTACGTGTTGTATCAACGATGTCATTGCCGAATATAACAAAATAAAAAAAACAAATTTGCCACTTTTATCTTATGAACGTTACTTTGCTTTGGCGTTCAGTGAAATAGAATATCTATTAGATATTGTACAAAGTGGAAATATAGATTATTTCTTTGAAACTTATTATAAATTTTGGTTACACACGTTAGTATATAATAATATTCATATTATGCTAACAATTAGAAAATATTATTAATAAATTTATATATTAATGGGTTATATTTTATATTTTATTTTTCTTTTCTTTTTTTTTTGCAGTGACACCGAAGTTACGGTTGTATCGAGTAATGGAGATAGTGAATTAGTTAAAATATTAGGCATCGACGAATATGGATTTTTGAAAGTACGAGGAAACAAAGGGAATACATTTTCGGTTCAACCGGATGGAAATAGTTACGATTTATTAAAAAATTTAATAAAGCCGATATAGATCTATTAGCATTAATCCATTTACAAATAAATTTTCAACGCTAAACTTTATAATATCGTACACAACAACGATAGATATCGAGCATAAATAATTAAAACAATGAAAAGAAGAAACAAAAAAAAAATAAAAAGCAAAACAAAAGGAAAAATAAAAATAAAAGAGACAATGTCTGCGATACGATAACCTTTAAATTTAAATAAATGACATAAATCATATGTCATAATCATATATAATAATGGTTGTAAAAAATAATTATATATATATATATATATATATATATATATATATATATAAAATTCTATTTATATCTATTTAAAACAAATCTTGATGAATTATTATTATTGTTATTCTTTTTTTATTTAATTTTTTTAAAGTGTGATACGAAAGATATATATCCGTTTAAATTATCTTTTCAACTATATGTATGTATATATACATATATATATATATATATATATATATATATATATATATATATATATATAAAATTGTTACATCTCAATTGAATAGATAGAACATGCATCGTACTGTTATATCATATACTATAATGTTCATCTAAGTCATATTGTTTACTTATCTCGTTTGCAATGTTTTGTAAAAAAAAAAAAAAAAAAAAAAGAAAAAAGAAAAGAAAAGAAAAGAAAATGAAGTGCTTCGCTAAAGTTATGTCGCAAAGATATAATAACATTCCTTCAAAGTCAGCTAATTAAAATTTACCAAATTGAAATAATATTGATAATAAAAAAATATTGGTAAAACGAAATATAATAACTGTAAGCCATATTGTTGTATAGTTTATTGCAGTGTTTACAATTTGTTGTATATTACTTGTATTTATAATGAAATAAAAAATTCATTATGTTACACATATTCTCAGTTACTAATTAAAAAAAAAAAAAAAAAAAAAAAAAAAAAAAAAAAAAAAAAAAAAAAAAAAAAAAAAAAAAAAAAAAAAAAAAAAAAAAAAAAAAAAAAAAAATTATAGACAAATTAAAGGTCAGCCAATAAGATAAATATATGTATATACATGCATATATATATATATGTATGTACATATATACATATACATATATATATATCTTCATATATATATCATAAAATTAATTTATTTTCTGGACAAAGAGACATGAAATTCTAATGTACATTATATCAGAATATTGCTAATCCTAAAATTTCTTATATATACCGATTTAAAAGATATAAATTCTCACATGATACACAGGAATTTGTAATAATTCGTGCTAGTTAATACTAGCATTAAAAGGTAATGTATACATACAATGTATACATTTAATTTTCATACATATTGAATCGTACATTTCTCTTCTGTACATACACTTTTTTTTCTTTTTTTTTTTATCATTTTTTTTTTCACTCTTTTATTTATTTATTTATTTAGTTTTTTTTTCTAATCCGTATCGCGTATATTAGCATGTAATATATTCTGTATTATTGTTATGATATTTTTAATTTTTAAATTTTATTTATTTAGGTCGCTAAGCCTATATATGATCAGGTAAATAAATTGCTTTTCTACTATAAAATATCTTGCTTTGCATATTGCCCCCATTATTTTTCTTTTTCAATCGCGGCTATACACAAATTATATATATATATATATATATATATTTCATATATAGAATGTGAAAATCGGAGGAAGAATGTGTTATAACGATTTTATATATATAAATGACGAACTTTTACAATATTTACATTACTTATGCACTAATTTTCAACAGTAAATAACGTCATATTATCAGTATGATAGCGGTGGATTATTTTTACAAAACAGCAGCGTGTAATGCATCTCTCATGTGCAATTAAATTATAATATACATACATACACATATACATATACATATATATATATGTGTGTATACATATATATATGTGTGTGTATACATATATATATATATATATCGGAAATATAGTCCATAGAATGTTGTACAGTAAAATATGCTTTCTCTTTTATTTTATTTTATTTTATTTTAATTTAATTTATATTATTTTGTTTTTTTTACCCCTTTTTCTAATAGAAAGTTCACATACTCTTTTTCTGTAATACACAAACAAGAAACATTTCTCGTCAATAAAATTCTTGTCTTAAGAATATAATTTTTGTTATTATAATACTGTATATTATTTATGATGATTGACATATATATATATATATATATATATATATATATATATATATATATATATAATAATGAAATAATGTACTCCATGATATAATTTCGCGAGAAAAAGACTAATTTTTTGAATAACATAACATACTGTATAATAAGAACTGATTTTTACATGTAATTCGTTATTTGTTTCTTTTTTTTTTTTTGCTATATATTTATAAAGTGTGATGTTTACATAGATCTACATATTAATAAAAATTATAATAAGTCAATAAAATCGTAGTCTTTAAAAGGAAAAAATTATGCTTATATATATATATATTGATGAATGGGGCACACGCAGCAGAGACATACTGACACAAAACAGACATTGATTGATATATATATATATATATATATATATATATATATATATATATATATATATATATATATATATATATATATATATATATATATATATATATATATATATACATATATATATACATACACATCATACACACAACAAACACGTGGAAAAAGAAGAAGTCACTGGTTTATTCGTTCTATGAATAATGACACAATAAATGTCTTCTTTTTATGTATATTATTAATGTCTATAATATGTGTGTAAAAGAGAGAGAAAAACAAAAAAAAAATAAAGCTAAATTGTATAGAAAACGTTTACGTTCAAGCAGAAGCAAAGAACGAATGAAGAAGATATTAGGAATGAACAAAGTTTGTATCTCGCATACATATTTCATTAAAATGTTAGCAAGAATGGTTCCATCTCGTTTTGTCCAAGTCATCGTCAAATCAAATACTTTAGAAATCAGTTCTAATAAATCTATATAGAATATACTATACAGATACATACATACATACATACATACATACATACATACATACATACATACATACATACATACATACATACATACATACATATATATATATGTAATAAAAAAAAAATTTTTTTTTTAAATTATTCTACCTTACGTGTATGTACGAACGACATATAGTTAATCAATTTCTACTAATGAAACAAATCTAAAAGATATACAATGTGTATATATGTATATATGTATATATATAATATATATATGCATATATATACATATATATTGTTTCAGTCACGTTGTGTAAGTAAATTGGCAGGAGCATCTCTCATCAACTATACACTACATTTGTAACCATGAAACCTATTATTTTTTTTTTTACATACGTCTCTTCTGGTATATAATTATTTATACATACATACATACGTACATACATGCATGCATATATATAGCTATATATATATATATACATACACACAAACACGTACGCACATATATATATATATATATACATAAAATACTTGAAAGTAATTTATATTTTATATAGAGAAAAAACGCGCGATTTTTGCATTATAATTTCTTACAAAATACATACACAAATTCTCGAAATTCTGCTTCTTTTTATCTTTTATTATTATTATTATTACTATTATTATTATTATTATTATTATTATTATTATTATTATTATTATTATTATTATTATTATTATTATTATTATTATTATTATTATTATTGTTGTTGTTGTTCTTGTTATTGTTATTATTATTTTTTTAACTTTTTTTTTTAGAAATTATATTATGTACACACGCTCTACTCTCTAATTGAACTCTAACGCCGCTCTTCTCATCGGAAGAACATCTTCGGTTATTTCCTTCTATTTGTTTTATTTATTATTTATTTATTTATTTATTTATCTATTTTTTTTCTTTTTAATATCTATTTATATATATATATTTTTTTTTCTTTTCTTTCCTTTACTTTGCTTTTATTTTTTATTCAATTTGTTATCTTGTCGTTGATCGATTTCACGCGCCCTTACTATTACGTAAGTTTTCTTTTATATTCTTTTTCATGCATCCCCATTCCACCTACTACTCCCCCCCCCCATTAAACTATCGTTTCGAAAAATGACGATCATCGTGTCTGGTTTCATTTTCGAAAGTCCAAAAATAAATATTGCAACCATATTTTGCATTTTTTATACCCTTCTCCCTATTTTATTTTTTATTATATTTCTTTTTTCTATTATCGATAAAAGAGATTTCGTATTCTCTCTAATACACACACATATATATATATATTTGTGTATATTATTTATTTATTTGTTTATATAGTCACGATAATAGTCATCATCGTTTCCAAAAATGACAAGGTATTCAACCTTCAGTCAATATCTCCATTAGCAATCGTTTTAGGCTATCCAAACCGGTAAGAAAACCACAGTCGGGACCTTGGTGTACCATCGAGCTCGAATTACATGCCAAAGCTAAACTGCTCCGCCCAAAGGTGGTATGTGCAAAGTCTATTATTCTAACATCAACCATGGCATCTTGCACTGAGGCCGTCGTTGTTTGTTCAGTTTTAACACGGAATCTTTTCGAGATGCTGGTTGGCTTTAACTCGTCTTGATCCTGTTCAACGTCGTCGTAAGAACGCAAACGATGTTTATGCCTGTTACGTTTCAATGCGCATTCACTTCTAATATCAATGTCGGAACTTGTGTCCTCCGAATTTACAGCTATGTGCTGACCAAAACAATAATCCTCGCCGCTGCTACTACTATACAACATCCAATTGTCATATGACGACGATTGGACAACTGTATTGATCAAACTTGGTGGTGGATCCATAAAAACGGTTTCCTCGTTAACCGGATAAAATGCTGTTGTATTTTTAGCACCCCTCGCGGCAGCCTCACCAAAACCACGGTGCAATGCTGCCTGGCTTACTTCCTCGTGTGCCAATAAATTATAATCCGTTGAATTATTGCTCGTATCAGCGTCGTAACATGTATCCGAAACGCCTGGTGTATTTTCCATGAAACTCAAGTCATTAGATTCCTCCTCGACTCTAAGGGACGTTGTATGTCTGTGCGTTGTGAATTCCTCTATTTGATATCCTTCGTACACTATAAGCAACGAACTGAAAAATTTTTAGCACACGTTATCATTTTTTTCTCCCTCTCTCTCTCTCTCTCTCTCTCTCTCTCTCTCTCTCTCTCTCTCTCTCTCTCTCTCTCTCTCTCTATATCTATCTATCTCTCTCTCCCTGCGTTTTTTTTTTTTTTATTCAGCCGATCTCTATTCTCGTGTCTATCGCGATCTTTTTTTTTTTTTTTTTTCTGTAATTTCTTTTTCCTAAATCATTTGAAATAAACGTGTACAAACATGTTCGACAGAGTTTTTGTTACATGCATAAAATTAAAAAATCCGATCGTTTAATGTTTTCTTTTTGATTTCCTTTTGTTTTCTCTCTCTCTCTCTTTTCTCTTATCAAACGGATCGTAAAAGATACACTGTTAAGTGAGAAAAGTATCGTTAACTTCGAAACAATATTTACATGGTAAATAATGTTTTGCCTTTGGCAACTTTTCTTTTTTCTTCTGCATTTTTTTTTTCTTTTTTTTTCCCCCCTTGAAAGATCAAATCTAATCATGAATATACGTGTCAAAAGTTACGAACATGTTGGATACACGTTTCGTGCCAGATAAATTTCCTGATTGCTTCTCTTATTCGTTTGCTATATTAATTTTTTTTTTTTATATATATAAATATAAGCTATATACATATATACGAAAATAAAGGAAACATTTCTAATAACATTGTAAGAACATGAAAATATAATAATGCATAGAGTGCTTTTTTCAAATCAATGATTTTGTAAGACAACGATGAAGGCGACGAAGATGACGATGACGATGACGATGACAATGACAATGACGGTGACGATGATCGAGAATTTGTAGAGAAAAATAGGTTAGAAAAAAATCTAAATTTTTTTCACGTCGTACATTTTCAATTCTTCTCTTTTTTTCTTTTTTCTTTTTTTTTTCCTGTCAAATAATTATTGTGACACGTAATATCTCTCGAAAAGATGAATATTATCGAACACGTTTATAATGTGTGAGAGATTAGAGAAGAAAAAAGAAAAAAAAAAAAAAGAAAGAAAGAAAAAAAAGTAAAGTAAAATAAATTAAAATATAAACGAGTTTATGCGAGATTAAATAATGCCAAAGGACAACGCCTGACATTCTAGCAGATAAAAAAGAAAATAAATAAATAAATAAAGAAAGAAAATGATCGATAATTAAACACGACCCATTTGCAAGGTTCACTTATACTTTCTTATATTATCTCAATATACTAACTGATATTATTTACACATAAGTACATAAAACTCGATCATATATATATATATATATATATATATATTTGTTGAATGCGCATATATATATATATATATTTATATTTATTACGATTAATATTATAATAAGAGATATATCACGATTATTATCAAAAAATGATTTCACATGATATCTCTCAATTGTCTGTCTATCGATCATCGATTCGATTATCGATTATATACGATCACATATAAAAATATCGATATAAAATCTTTTTCACATTATACAAATCTTGGCATTAGTTCAACAATTATTCATTTGCAGCGTATATATGTATATATATATATATATATATATATATATATATATATGTGTACGTATATCGAATTTCATGTATCACGTATCTTAAAAAAAAAAAAAAAGAAATATATGATGTTGAACTTAGAAGAAAAAAAAAAAAAGAAAAAAAAAAGAATAAACGATGTCGATAATTTATTTCCTCTCGACTGATTCACGTTGTATATATGTATATCGATAAAAAGTGATGACGTAGTAAAGAGGTTAAGAGCAATGACTAATCGATGTCATCGCTTTTAAAGTATCGTTCGATAGAAAGTTAATTACGATTAGCGATAAGTCGATATATATATATATATATATATATATATATATATATATGATGTAAATATGTATTATGTATAATCGACGTTAAATTGAATACGTCATCATACGTACATACGTCACAAATGCCGTAGGAAGCAACAGAATTAGAAATTTTTTTTTAATTTAAAAAAAAGAAAAAAAAAAAAAAGAAACGAACGAACAAATGAATGAATAAAATAAAAGAATAAAAAAAAAAAAAGAAATAAAAATAAAAAAATCAACAAAATAAAAACAGATCCACTCGTAATATATTGTTCAAAATATATTTTATTTCTCTTTTTATTGTCTTCATTGTCGAAAAGGGGAAGAAGAAAAAGAAGAAAAAGAAGAAGAAGAAGAAGAAGAAGAAAAAGAAGAAGAAGAAGAGGAGAGAAAAAGATAAGTAATATTGCTTATTCACCACAACAATACCAAACAATAATAAAAACAACAATATAACAACATTAACAACAACAATAGCAGCAACAATACCGAAATAATAATACATTCAAGATGGAATTTAATGATTAAAATTAAACATGCCATTTTTTTTTCTTCTTTAAAAATATCTATTTAGGTAATAATTTGACAAAACAACAAGTTCGTTTCCATAAAATTTTTATGTACTAAGAAACGAGGCTTGTTGTGTATATTTATGTGTGTGTATATGTGTGTGTACGTATGTGTGTTCATATACACATACATATAAATTATACAAATAATTTATATGTAAAATAATTTATACATTTTGTGTTCATATATAAATGATTTATACATGCCTTGTTTAAATAATGTATGTACATGTATGTCATAAAAAACGTGTTTGAACTATAAAAAAAAAAAAAGAAAAAGAAAAAGAAACAGAAAAGGGAAAAAAGGATAAAGATAAAGAAAAAACAAAAAAAAAAGAAATAATAAAAATAAATAAATAAATGGACAAAAAAAGAATTTTCTTGTGTTCATCTTTACATACATCATTGAACGCATGATTATGTTAAGATCACAATCTCAAATGTTCAAATTAATAATCATAAATTCTATCCTGTATGTAAATATGCATTTGAAACAAGGTTAAAAAAGCGATTATCTATATAATAAATATTATTCATATACCTTAAATACAGTTAAAAAAAGAAAGAAAGAAAGAAAGAAAGAAAGAAAGGAAGAAGAAAGAAAGAAAAAAAAGGAAAGAAAATTAGCGAGCATGTTAAAGCACATTTAATGAATTCGAACGAAATGAAAGATAAAGAAAAACAAAAGAAAAGAAAATATTAATAATAATAATGAAAAAAAGAAAAAGATAAAGGAAACGAAATGCTATTCAAGCAAAGCTGAGATTATCGATAAAAGCAGATTGTGATCTTTATCATTTGACTTAAGGTCAAACCAGGCTTTTTTCGTATAGATATATATGTATATATATATATATATATACATATAATATTATTATTATTATTATATATATATATATAAAATATATTTAATATTTATATATAAATATATGTGTATATATATATATATATATATGTATATATATATATTAAATCTTAAATACATATTCAAAATTTAAAAAGTACTCGTCGTTATATAAATTCTTTTTTCTTTAAATATTTTTATACAATTAACTATGCGATTATAGAAATATAATTGTAATAATCTATATTACTTATTTTTCTATCTACCCATAGGAAATATCTAATCCGTATAATAACCCAAATTTATTTAATAATTAATAACAATAATAAATATTAAATATTCTATCCGGTAGGCCTATCTCTCTCCCTTTCCGCAATCTATTTTTTTTTCTCCCCATTTAAGAGCCACGATTCCACAAAATTACTAAATGCCATATGCGCAATACGATTTTGCGATTGATGACATCACCATGAGATGTAATTCTCAATTACCTTTGAAGAAAATTAATCTATCGTTTTTATGTGACACGTGCGCGTCACAGACGACATAAAAAATATGCGCGCGGACGTAAAAAAAAAAAAAAAAAAAAAAAAAAGATATATACATGTTATCTCCTGTTTATAAATCGATTCATGGATCGCTTTAACGGAGCTCGTGACTCTTTCAAAATAAACAATCTGTTAAATTATTTCGTTGGCCATGTTATACCAAACATTCATGATAATATCATACGAATACTCTCCATCTATTTTATTTCTATTTCGTCACGATAGATATAAATTTTTTTATCTTCTTTATTTTTATTTATTTATTTCTTTTTCCTTTTTTAATTCTAAAACGATGTCCTAATTATTTAATTACTTTTCGATTAAGAATATGATATAAATTATTATTGTTATACAATGCGATATTGCGATATACAATATAAACGTGATAAAACGCAATTTTATGTGTCAACAAATAAATACTATAACAATAATGATAATAATAATGGTAATGATAATAATACTAATACTAATACTAATACTAAGAATAATAATAATAATAATAATAATAATAATAATAATAATAATAATAATAATAATAATAATAATAATAATAATAATAATAATAATAATAATAACAATAATAATAATAATAATAATAATAACAATAATAATAATAATAATAATAATAATAATAATAATAATAATAATAATAATAATAATAATAATAATAAGAGTAACAACAATAACAATAATAATGAAAGAAGAACGATCGATACATGATATATATATATATATATATATTTATATATTATATATCGATAGTATAATATTTCATGAGATACGATGAGAAAGGAGAAATAAACGCTATATTTGCGCATTTATTAAAGATCATAATTAAAAATCTCTCTTA